GACATACCAGTATGTATCACGCATTATGTGCATGATCTAGTAATGGCATTGAATAATCATAATAAAAATAATCATATACATATTTTTAACATATTTATTTTTGTCTTTTTTTTTGTTTTGTTTAGTGCAACGTGCTATAATCACGAGTGAATTTGGTGAAACAGTAACAATTATTAAACGTGAAAGTAATGACGATTGTCTTGGTGTTGATGATGGTGTTGAAAGAATTTCAACGACAATGGCTCTAGGTAATAATTCAACAACTAATAATACATTTGGAAATAATAATGAACTACTAGATTGTGTTGTTTGTGGTGATCGAGCTACTGGTAAATAGGAAATTATTTAGTTTATTGAGAATGATTTTTTTTCTTCTTCTATTATAAAGGTAAACACTATGGAGCTATATCCTGTGATGGTTGTAAAGGATTCTTTCGACGGAGTGTTCGCAAAAATCCAGTTTATGAATGTCGACATCAAAATAATTGTACAATTGACAAAGATAAACGCAATCAATGTCGTCATTGTCGATGGAAGTATGTTTCTAATATCTAAATATTCTTGTTAAAAAATCTATTCATATTTCTATAGAAAATGTATTAGAATGGGCATGAAAAAAGATGGTATGAAATTTAATTGTAAATATAATCTATTTTATTTTTAATTTTTTCAATTCTTAAAGCTGTACAAAAAGAAAGAGATCGTCTTGGAAGACAACGCTCGAATAATCATACTTATAGAATGACAGCAATAAAATCTATTGGACGTATTGATCATGATTTTGATGAAGATGATGATGATCTTAGTATTATGGCACTTTTAAGAGCTGAACAAACAGCTAAAGAAGTATGAAAATATATCAAAGAATTTATTTAGTTTTTCTGTAAAAATATTTAATAAAATTCTTATTTTTAGTATATCGGTCGACAAATTAAACTTGATAGACATCCATCGAATACAGAACGTGTTCAAGCTACTTTAGAAACAATTGGTATATCAATGAATTATCAACTTCGTAGTTTTATTGAATGGGCAAAAGATTTAAAAGGTTTCATTGATTTATCTGATAATGATAAAGTAAGGCGGAAGAGGAGGAGAAGAAGAAAAAAACCATCACATTTTTTTAAAAAATATTATTTATTTAGATCGCTCTTTTACGTGGTCATACTGGTGAAAATCTTGTTCTAGGTGTTGCTTGTCGTTCATTAAATTGTGATGATTATTTACTGCTCGGTAATCATTATGTTATACCACGAATAACAGCTGATCCTGGTTTAACACGTGCAGCTGGTAGAATTCTTGATGAAATTGTTAAACCATTAAAAGAAATGCAATTAGATGAAAAAGAATATGCGTGCTTAAAAGCAATTGTATTCTTTGATAATGGTTTGTATTTTATATGAAGATAAACTTCTTATTATCTTATTCTTTTCTTCTGTTTTATTCATCTTAGATAATAAATCTTTATCAGATCCAATGCGTGTAAAAGAATTACGTAAACGTATACAAGTTAATCTCGAAACTTATATAAATCAACAAAAACCATTAATGCGTGGACGTTTTGGAGAATTATTATTATTATTACCACCTTTACAAAATATAGCTCGTTTAATGGTTGATCTTGTTGCACGTTATAATCAAGATACGAAACAAGTCGATGATCTTATTAACGAAATGCTTTTAAGTAAGTTTAACAAGAAATTTATTCGATATTCTCAACAATAATAACAAAAAGAATACGATATTAAAAATCTATATATATACATATATCACAGAGAGAATGAAACAACAAATGTAGTTCTATAAGTTCAGATAGATATCGTGACGATTGTCAAGATTCGATGATATCCACTACAACTAATACAATACATATGATTACTACTAATACATCATCGCCAAGTAATTCAAGTAAGAATGACTATATATATATTCATTACAATAAATAACACACACATATACTAACATAAATAAAATCTGTAATGGGTTTTTTTATTAATATACATTGCACGCTGTAACTATTGTTTTTCCTTTGCATGCTTATGTGTCTGTCGAACGAAAAAAAATAAATAAACGAAATCGTATTGTTATTGTTAACATATGATCATCAGCATTCTAAGAATATTTCACGTTCTCATGTTTTATTATTTATATAATATATATTTGAAAATATATATATTTTTAGTTTCCAAAGAAAACGATCTTGATTCTAATGGTTCTTCACTTGATACCGATATGGAAGATAATACATCACAGTCTCAAGATAGTAATCAATATCCGGATCCTTCTTTAGCTACACCTGTACCAAATTCCGTTATGATTCTTTCACGAACAGTTAACCATGATATTCACAATGTTTCACTTACTGAACATGATGATTATTTATCAAATGATCTATCCCATATTCATCTTCTTCATTCAAATTCTATAGCTGATCCGAATTTAAATCATCATAATGCAACGTCAGTTGCACATACAATAACTAATGATCTACATGATTATCATCATGGACAAATTCTACAATATTTTAACGATACATCAAATGATCGATTAAGATTTATAAAACGTTCAAAAGCAATAATGACACCTTCATCAACAACAAATATACCAACAAATGATCCCAATGGTGATATTAGCTTCTTATGTGATCTCAATACACCACCAACAGTTAATCGACAATCAAATCATACGAATAACTATTATGATACTGATTGGCATGGACGAATATTATTACCGACTACAATAACATCCCATGTAGTTGATAATGTTAAACAGGAATATGAACAACATAATATTCTACGATGAGATCATATATACATATGTACATCTCTGTTTAAATGTACAAAAAAGAATCTTCCTCATTTTTTCTTTTCCTTCCGGTCGTTTCTTTATCTTCTTTTTTTCTTTCTTTCTCAACTTTATTTATGTGTTTGTCTTTCGATTATATCATCATTATTAGAGAAGCAATAAGACATTTCTTTCGTTTTTTTTTACAGTTACACATTGTTTGTGTTTTTTTTTCTTTTTTTTCTTGTCAACATTATTATTATTATTATTATCATCTTTTTTTTCGTATGCGCATATGTGCGTATTTTTAGGCAGATGTATTAGAGTGTATAAGTGAGAGTGCTGTATTTTTTATTTGTGTGTGTGAGTGCGTGTGTGTGTGTGTGTGTAAAGACGATTTTGATTTTGATGCCATGGATACCTGCTTTATGAGTATATATGATGGGAAAAAAAGAGATAGAATTGATGAAGATGAAACAATTCACTAATAACATTTGATTTATTTGTATATGAAAACTATTATAAGATTTAAAAGATAATGAATTATGAAAGAAAATTTATGTAAAAAACAAAAATATTTAACTTTTATTTGATTATCTGTGTGTAACGACATAGTACGTATGAAAAAGAGAACAAACTTGAATAATGATTCAGTTCGCTGTGAAATAAAACATCTGATCTAATGATCCCAAACAAGAGAAAGATAAAAGAAAAAGAACTGGTAAGATATACTGAATGAGTTAACAAAACAATCTATAGAATAATTTCACGCCCACCGTAAGTATTGATCACATCATCATCATCATCGGATATATATTCTGATTGATTCATTATATACACGAACAAGCACACATAAACGAAAGCAAAACAATAGTTGTATTTCTGTCCTTCAATAAGCGACATATTTTTTCTCTTTCGACGACTTTTTTTCTCTTGTGTTCATATATATATATATACGTTCTTCACTTTTCTCTTTCTTTCAATTTTACTTTCCTGTCACTAGTGCTCGTTTACACGAGTACATTCGTCGTTGACCCTTTCCGCTTTTCTATATTTTTTCTCCTTCTCCTTCTCCTTCTTCGTCTTCTTTTTCTGTTCAGTTACAATTCGTTGATCATCTTTTAACAGAACATGGCTTATATCAAGGTCATAGTAGGTGCGTTCTATTCATTTGACATCTTTGTCCGTTTTTTTATTTCATAATATTTTTATTTAGGATTATTTTTTACAAACATTATCTCTCTTTGTTATGGTCAGTTTTTAACACCCGATCAATTACGTGAACAACATGATCTTGGTTATGGAGCTCGAACACATTATGAAATGTCCGGTGGTCGACGAACAGATATGTTCAATCGTGTTAATCCTGATTACTTACTTCAAGGTTGTAGTTAATTTCAAAAAAAAA